TCCACCGCCTCCTGGACTTCCCTCCTACGCTCAGCGGCCCCCTGGTCCCCCACAAGGGCTGCCCTCCTATGCGGATAATCATCCCGCTGGTTCCCAAACAGGCATGCCCTCTTCCTTTCACCCTTTTCCTGGAGGCCCGTCTTTGTCCACGCAGCAACAGCAACAGCAACAGCAATTACAGCAGACAGCATCATCGTCCCGGCGTTCTCGTTGGGAGTGAGAATCCCCATGCGGGCCACTGCGTTTTACGGAAAGAGAAGAGGAGGAATGAGGAGGAATTACCTGTGGATCAGGATCCAATTTAGAAGGACTCTGAAATCGGGAAGATATTGACGTGAAAGTGCAGGATCAGATAACCGGATGGAATGAAGTACGCCTTACAATGCTGCCCTTAAACAGTTTTTTAAAGACCAGACGGTATGGAGGTAAAGCCAAGGGCGGATCGAGAAGTGCGAAATAAAAGCAACGGTCTCGGCAACGTTTTATTGTTGTTGTGTGCGAGTTGTTTTTATCGCTCAAACCTGAAATCACGCAGCATTTCAGAAGACATATTGTGTTGGCAAGATATGCTGATATTTTCTCTTAGGCATGGCCCATGTCGCCCCGCGTCATGTCCTGGATTCTTTGCAGTGGTCATGAAACATAGAAATACGGATTGAACAGTGGCGCGTTTTAAACTTTGCTCATGCTCCCACGGAGTGTTTGAATGCCTGTTGTGGGAATCGAAAACGTGTATTCCGTGGGATTCTATTGACAAAATTAGCACCCGACGACCCTCTCTACCTGTCGGGCAGGAGGAAGGAAGCCGTAGGCGAGGAACGTACTTGCAAAGACACCAATATTCCCAAATCAAAGTACTTGACAGTCGGGCGGTCGATGTGGTAAAAGCATATCCTGCTCTCAGTGATGCGCGACTTTTTGGGTTGTGGTCACCTCCGTTGATTTGTGCACGTCTCTTCGCTTCTCCATTCCTTCCTCATTTGCCATATGGAAGTACACAATGGTTTTACCCGTTTTATTCCTGCCTTTACACACATCTCGCTTTCAATACATCCATCACAAGACAGGAATGCTAAATGCCCGACATTTTCTACGCTCTTTTGACGGGGCGAAGTGCTACCGTGTGCATGCCTGTACGTTTACAGTCATGACCGCCCGATATTCGAGCCCGAAAGGGACGTTGTCCTCCGGGATATTATCAAATGCTCGCTTCCTGACAAATAAGACAGCTGGCAATCCTTTAAATAAAGATCAGGTAGGCGAAACTGCACATGCTGACGTTGAAAACCAAGAAAAGACATCTGCGGAAATGGAGCGTCGAATGCAGGCGTTGAAGCGATTTGGCCTCCCTAAAAGTTTGGATAAAGAAGCCATTTCAGCGCCACAAGGGAAGCCCATATCTGAGCGAAAAAGATCAGGTGACGCAGAGGAAGAAAAGGAGCAGGACTGGAATGCCATATACAGTGACTACATCTGGTATCGAGAGAATCAGACGACTAAAGGATGGAAAAGCTGAGCAGAGCTACGACGGTGTGTGGGTCGGAATTTTGACAAGGATTAAGCCCGAATTATCTCGTATTGTCATGCACCTGTGTGAGGCGACGCAGCGTGGGAATTTTGACGGAGGGCTTCGGGGAAAGCGGGGTCGTGCGAAGCCTAATTGAAGATGACGGGAGGGAAAGTGACACATTCATTGCCACATGTACATACACCCACGTGAATCGATTCCCTGCGCTAGATTCTCAACCTTTTAAACACTTGTTCGAGAATTCCAATCAGAAACATGGTGCCTGCAAAAAATTGAAGGCACTTGATATTACGGAGGCTCGGGAGTGTGAAAGTGTGTAGGCGTGTATATGAGCATGCATGTAAGCGCAAACCCGACGGCGTTGGCCTCTCCTTCTCCCAGTCATGCGATAAATTGACGCAAGATAGAATTAGATCGGTATTCAACAGTCGTTTCTTTGATTTTTACGGTGCACTAGTCCTAATCATGTCGCGTTGGATCGACTGCTGTTCCTTTGTGCCCTCTTCACGCTTGCATCTCTTTCTACTCTTTTCCTTCATTTTATGACTCTCTCCCTCTTTCACTTCTTTTGCTGTCATTCCATCCTCCTCTTCCTCCGCTTGTCTTCCTTTTATCAGTTCCGCTAAAGACTGGGCGCTCCCCGTCTCCCACGCATACGATCGGGGCACTCTCCAAACGCCCATGGCATCTTGAGAGACCGTGACTCCCTCTTCTCCGAGCCTCATGGCTTGCTCTTCGGCGCCAGTTCCTCCATCGCCGCGCGGTGAGATAGTGTACGAAGCATTTATAACGCGTTGCCACGGCACGCTTGTGTTCAAGGGCAGTCGTCGCAAGGCCTGACCGACGTGCCGTGCATGTTTGGGGCAATGACACAAACGTGCGATGTGTCCTTCATGGTGATTAAGAGCGTGTGTACGAGAGGATCGTTAAAAGGTGAATGAGGTGCTTGAAATTTGTTCAATTTCTTTCGCCAACGAGTCTCACCGTAGGTAGTCACCTTCCCCCGCGGCACATATGTGACGCATGTATGGACAAGTCGATCAAAAAGTGCCCGATCAAACTTGCTTTCAGCGAATTCTTCGTGATAGTCGTAGAAAATGGCGTCCTTGTCGCCCATTCCGTGTTGAGAGCTGTTCTTTACTTCGCGTTGTTTAGAACCTCCTGAAAGTTAGTTCACGCGAACTCCTCATCTCTTCATTGCCCACCCATGCATGGCTCAAGCAAAGTGCACGG